ATGCCGGGTAAAAACACCTTCAGTGGCCTTACTTCTCGCTGATGGATTTTTGTACAGGAAGTAAGAAAATCTGTTTACTGATACTGCGGTATTATAATAGCCTACATTCCGCTTAGAATTTTTGTACTGTACATATTTTATTGCAATTCCCATGAGATGCAAGAAATGAGCAATGCAGGTTGGACAGAGATTAGAATTTTTGGCAATGATATGACCATGTCATCAGTGAATTAGTTAAATATTATATTTCTTGTTCTTTGTTTTAGCTCAAATTATTGTGCTGGAAATGCTATAGCAGGTGCCATGTAACTCTACTAGGGGCCTTACTGTGTTGTTAGATGTAACAAAGCAATGCTTGATTCTGTCTGGGTACTGCCTTGATACCGTTTGTGCCTCTGGAGCCACAGTAGGGAGGCTCGGTCCACTAGCATTGCAACGTCAAAACCACAACATAGTTCTGACTTCCTGCTTGAGGCAATAGAGGAAGTAACCTTTGACCGGATTCTTCTCAGTAGCAAGCAGGTCTGAGTCTGGTGCGCTTCTGTCATTCCTACGGCCCCATCCTAACTTTTTTCTTAATTTATTTTATATAATTAATTATTTGAAAATAATTATTTGCAATTATCTTTTTAATTCAGCAACAATTAGCTGAGATGAAAAGTTTTCAGTGGAATAGTTTGATATCATATGTGGCACAAATTTGTTTATTTATCATTTGTAAATGTTTCCGTATCAAAGTTTCTTTTATTCAGGATCTAGTTATGTACAGATTACTTTTAATTACACAATGTCTTTCACTTAAAAAAAGAAAAAACTAGAAGTTTTGTTTTTTTTTCTTTCTAAAAGAAATGAATTGATTGATATGGAAGCTATGGCTGTGTTGTTTAAAAAACTTTCTGTTTGTGAAAAAAAGTTGTGTTCCTCATTTTATATTCTGTATTCTAATTTTTTCATCTTCTTAGTGCAGTTTCCCTAGGTAAACATGGCATTGTCTTAAACGCTTATCTTTTGTATTATATTGTTTGCAATAAAAACAAAACACAGGAATAATGTGATCATCTTGTGGCATTAATTATAAGCACATGATATTTGTGTTGTTCACAGCTGTGGGGGAGGGCAGGTCTGTTGTGGCTGACATCAGTCAAATATTGGTGAGGACATGCACGATCCATTCACAGAAGTCAAGCAAAATTAAAATGTTATTTTCTGAGTGTGAATCACTTTAGGACCATCTTTATCCAACTCAAAAAACTATGCTCAGTAAAAGAAAAGAAAAGAAAATCAGGAGGATTGTTATAATGCGACACAGATAATTGAATTTCTGCATTAATCAGAGCCGACCGGGTTGTTGGCAACCCGCTGGAGCAGTTTGGTAAAGCTGAGTTTTTGCTTTTGGCTTCTCAGACCATGAGGTCACAGGTCCATTATTGCCACGGCCTATTGAGAAGACTTATGTCTGCATCCCCTCCTCAAACCTGTATACATGACATCTTAAAGAAACAAACACTGAATATTGTTTATCCATTACTGGCCAAGGACTATAGGAATAGAACTGACCTTAATAAATCAGGGACAGTATAAAAAAAAAATCAGGTACTATAACTTTCTGTTGAAATTTGAGGCACATTCACAGATGATGTCTCTTTCCTCACATCAGTTGGACTGAGCCTGTCTCTGCCACCCACCGCTGCACTCGTCTCACTGCAGTAACTGGGCGGCTTATTAAAAATCTTATAGCTTGACGCTATAATTACTCTTACACTGTACACTGTACCAGGTTATATGTATGGTGCATAACAATATGAAAATATGATGATGGCTAGAAAGTCATTAAGATATACATTTTAAAAACTGTGAATGTTGAACTTTCACCAGAAAAAATAAATAATTAAAACAAAAATTGAACTGTGTTTCCATGAGCTAAATAAAATTGCTGACTTTAATTGTCTAGTTTTCATTGAATGTTAGCAACTGTGAGTGCAAATTTGTATTTCAAATAATAGTTTGGCATTATCATTTCTTTAAAGTTTGATGTTGAAACCAATTTTTAGTGTATTTTTAGTCTCAGAAAGATAAAAAGGATGCTCTCAACACTTCTATGTGTTTGTGCCCTCACATTTGTGTAATGGCAACACACCATAAAATACCAGCTTGTGCACTCACATGTTCTGTGGTTTGTTGAAAGTGGAAAACAGTAACTGAAATCATGCGTATAAGCCATGGGAATGTGGGAACAGCTGAAAAGGAAATAACATGATTTCAACACACAATACCTTTTTGAATCGACCAACAATCACAGACTGATAACATGTATCAGTACTGTACAGGATATCTACTGTTAGAATTGTGGTTTAAAGTTGGCTTCCACAATGTAACTTTACTGTTTAAAATTTTTTTTATAGGAAAATAAAACATTCCAATCACTTGTAGGAATGTTGTGTTGATGACAAGACAATAATCCTCCCACAGGCTTGACTCCTGTGTCTCTGGTTAAATATGAAGGCTGACATCTTCCCCACTGACAATGAAGAGCAGTCAGAGTGTAAGACTCTGAGCCCACCTCCCACAGAGAGCCCCTGAGGCACATCCATCACCGAATCTCCAATAGCTCAGACCTGGAGCGAGGCAGGAGGGCAGCAGGGCCTCAGGGCCTAACAGGGTAAAAGTAGTCCAGTTAGTGATGGATCGAGGGAGAGCTGGAAGGTGAGTCGGGGGGATCACAACAAAAGGAACCTGACTAATCCATTGTTTTCTAAATCAAAAACCTAACTAATCTACTGTTTTCTAAATCAAAGCACCGTGTTCAGAACTGACAGGACTGAAATCTTAAATTCCTGGATTTTTACATGTATATTTTCTTAGAAGTCAAAGTAGAACCTCCTCCATAGAACAGATAAACCTTTTTAGGGGACCAAAGGGGTGCTTTTAATCCAAACTTCAAAATTGTAGTTGTTAGGAGTATAAATCGTGCCTGACTCAAAAAATGTGCAACAGTAACCACAATGTCCTGCTGTTTGAGCTGGCTCTGACAGGCAAATAGTAACACAGTACACAGAGCATGATTGGCTCCTGATGATGCCTGTCTACAGTTTAGCTGTAGCCAATATTTCTGGTCAACAAACAGAGGAAAAGTCAACTCTGGTAAACACAGGTTCACGTTCCCCCAGTTTCAGACAATGAACAGAACATTTTTGCTAAATTGTTTCATTCTCTGGTTGTTGGCAGTATATGTGCATGAGAAATGTTTACATTTACAAGTCCAGGTTCCTAAAAAACAATCACAAATTTGGATAAAATGAAATCAATTAATCATATTATCACTTTCAGGAAACAATTTTCACTTAAAAATAAAATTTAGAAATAAAACTAACTCCTTTTAAAAGAATGGATGGGATAAAGACGTGTGTAGAAGACAGCTAGAGTAGCTGGACCACCCTTGCTACTCTGACCTCAGTAAAAAAAAAAATGGAGTGATCATGGCCACTTTCAGAGTATTTCATCAGAATAATGGGTCATGTGCTGTTGCCACCCCTTTAGGAAATGACATAGTGAGGTTTTCCCAGTTTGAAACCATGGTGACTCATTTGTTGGGATTTTCTGCACACACAGACAGCCTTGCCCAGTAGCAGCCCAAACAAAATGATAAATTTAATATGTTCCATGCGGCAACTTAAAAATGAAAGAAAAAAAATTACAGCAGTGTCACAAAACAGTTGCTGTCTGTTTACGACTTCTGTTAACTTACCTAGAAATTCCAAAGCAACATCGGATATTTGGGCTCTAGGAAATACACATCTATCATTACTGAAAATTTGTATTTAAAGAAACAATTAAGGGCAAAGCAAATAAAAGGGATTTTTCTAAACCATTTGCCCCAGCCTGATGACTCTGACTTGTTCAGAAAGCCTTGGCAGTCAGTGGCCGAGTGACCCAGCCAGGGAGAGGATTTGGGCTGCAATGGGACTGCTCTAAACGGCAGGAGTGCCCTGATGAATGTTTCCGAGAAGGATCGGAAACAAGGCAAAATTTTTCTTAGCTTTACTTTTTTTTCTTCTTCTTCGTCAGACAGGCCTTTCCATGGGCAATTTTCCCAGGACGACCCCATTATTATTCCACAGAGACGTCTGCCCCCTCCAAGCCCTATTGGTGGTCTTTCTGAAGGGAAAAGGAAGAGAAAAAGAAAAGGACTGGGGGTCTGGCGATACACCCACAGAGACTGGGTAACAATAAAATACACATTAAGGCAAAGCAAGATGAAAAGTCAAACAGCATTCCTAACATATTGTTGTTTCAACTGATGGACTGGGTGTGCTGGTGAATATACCATATGTGTCTTTGGCCTGTTACTGCATTTAGAGACAAACAGTCTAATATGTCTAAACAAGACAAAAGTAGGAACATTAGAAAAAACAATCCATATGGCAAACATAAGACTTTATTGTGTGTTCTTAGTATATTTGTGCCTCATTCCTCTGTTTAGATTACCTACAGGGACAGTTTGAAATGACCCCCACAGTCAGTTGCTTTTAAATTGTGCAGTCCATAAAATGGTTTCTTAAACCAATAAGACACATTCAGCAGAGGAAGCCTCTGCTAAATCACATGGAAAGACAAGCTCACCACAAGGCCGTTTCCATGGAAGCTACACCCTCAGCTAAAAAACTATTATGTGCTGATTCAAGTTGATAGCAAAGGGAAGGTGCATTTTCTACATCGTAAACCATATTTATTATTGTATACATGAATTCATTGAAAGCATTACATGAATAATATCCATCAAATTCAAGAAGTCAAAACACTCTTGGGAAATTTTATTTATTTAAGAGTCCCCTCCTGTCACCGTTGGATTTTGCTCACTGTTGAAAAAGACTTTGCACCATAGCCATCCATCTTGCTCTGGGCCCATGAGGACAATGACCTGTGCCAAGAGGCCGAGCTGGGCAAGCCTGCTGG